CAGGAATGGTCCCATCTGATTTCTTGAACTTTTTGCAGACTGAAATACAACTGCTGATCACTTTGTCCCCTGGCTTTTGTAGTACTATGCTTCCATGATTCTTTTTAAAATCTCTTTGACTGTTTTCAAATGCATCTTCTCCTGGCTCATGTAACATTTCAACTGGGTTCTTATAACATTTCATTGTTTTTGATGCACATATGGCCTTTTGCCAGTACGTGTCTATTTCTCTGTTCTCTTGGAGATCAAAACTGACCTTCTGATCAAGTTTGATATCTCTTCACTTCTCTTCCCTCCTCTTCTGTTTTTATTGACAACACTATCCTTTTCCTCTCTATTCAAATCCGTGGTGATAGCATTGGACAAAGAAAAGGATTTAAAGAGATCACCAAAACTTACTTCACAGTAGTTAGGGTTTTTGGAAATTTGAGACCTTAAACTCCCTCAAGGGCTGAAATATTAATTCAGTTACTTGTTATCTTCTCCTTTATTAGCTATTTAGCTTTCTCCTTACTAATATTCCAGTTACTCAATTTGTTCCTCTCCAAACTGTTCAAAACACAGTTTCCCTTTATTCACCACATCAATATTAAATTTATCTTTGTCCTTAGGCTCCTGTACAACTTTGCTTAGACTACATATTGGCACTTCTGTTCATTCAGTTACTGGTGTAACATGCTTCCTTCTCCCAGAACTCTCTGGGTGATTGATATCCTGAATAATATTAGTTTAGTTAACTCTAAAATAACAAGAATTGTTTTAATTGTCTAAAATGATTTTTTTTCTGGCTTTTTTTTTTTTTAAATTATGTTCTGCCCTTTTATATTTTAAGTTTCCAGCCAGGGATTGTCTTGCTATTTGCCTTTATATGCTACCTAGAACATTATTAGTACATGATAAATAACTGCAAGTTTAAATAAATAGCTTTTTCAGCAGTAGAGGTATACAATGAATAATCAAATCTGTTTATTTTTCAAGTGAATCATTATCCAATTTATTATTCTCAATTAACAGTCCTTATTATTATGCTTTTTACAGCCTCTGAAAGTAGATCCCCAAAGATCTACTAAACCTAGAAAAGCCACAGAAACAAAAAAAGGAAGTTTAGTGAGAAACAGGTAGTGAAACTTAATCCTATTTTTTCTTATAGATCTGAAATAACCACTGTGAGTATCCTGAATGTGTAATTGATATAAATATATGGAGGCCTAAAGTGGGAGAATGTCTTCTCTCTCTCTTGTTTACATAGATGAGATGAGCAAGGATACAATAGTTGATAGTTAAACTGTTTGAAAGTTTTATTTCAGTTTTTAGAAGTTATTGTGGGTTATAAACGTAGGAATTGAGCTCAGTGTGAAATACTTTTTGTGGTTATTTGTCTGCAGTACCCAAAATGTTTAGCTCACTTCTGTTCCTCAATACTTGTGGCCCATGTTGGCGGCCAAGGATTTGTGTATTACATGTATATTGAGTCCTTTTGAATTTTAATTGAAATACAAGAAATACTGAATTTTGTAAGCATCCCAGCATCTGATGATAAAGTTTGTTTAAGCCTGTCTGTACCAGTTAGTCTCTTTAATGCTACCCTGGTCTACTTTCTGCCTGGGTTCAGACTAACCTAACAACCTCTGAATTTTGTTATTATGTGGCCTTTTGTAATTGAGTCCTTATCCATATATATGCCATTCACATGTATATTCCATTGGCTTGACATTGAAATATTTTAGCCAGAAATGCCCCATTAGGGTTGCATGTGTACCGTGAGTGTCCTTGTGTTTCCATATCAAAGATGACGTGTATAACCTAATTACCACTCAGTTCCTTCTTCAGTGATTGCAAGACTGATCTCTGTAGGGTCTGTGTCTTAACACCATTGCATAGAGACTTTTGTATATAGCTGTGCCTACTAATGCTAATTTAAAAATAATATTATATAGGATAGTTCCTGCCTTCTTTCCCCATTTCTCTGACATTTTCCTGATTATTTAGGCTGAAAGATACCTCATCCTAAACTTGTCAAAGATGAGACTCAACTCATGACGCCTTCAAGGCCAGTTAACACTGCTTCTTGTGACCTGCTTTTGATTTGAGCAGTGCAGATACCCTCACCTTCTTGAATAAATTACACCTGAGTCTAGAAGTGAATTCTGGATTGACTAGCTCCCGGAAAATGTCTTTGAAGATCATCTTAGCTGTAGGTTTGCAAAGGAGTGAAAAAATAGAATCTTAGAGAGAAAAATGAGTCTCATTTCTCTAGCAACACTGGATTTATTTTCAATTGGTTCACCCACATCCAGTCACCAACTGCAGTTAGGCACTGGGAAAAGACTGAGATGCAAGGGTCAGGATCAGATGAGAAGGAAAGGTAGAACATTTTGATGGCACCTCACTCCAAACTTCTGAACAATCTTGCCCAGTGGCCTCATATATACATTGAACAGGAGCACAATAAGTAGAGGTGTACTGATACATTGGTCCATATCGTATCGGCATCGGTAAAAAGAAAATTGACATTATCGGCAACAGTCTTTTTTTGGCTGATGTGGCCAATAACACCGCCAGTAAATGCTGTGTGCGTGTGCGTAGATGCAGCATGCACATGGCCAACTCAGCAGCTTAGAAAGCAGCATCTGGTTGGGGGGGTGGGGGGGTGGGTAGGGCAGGGCAGATTGAGGCCCCTGCGGTGAGGGAGTGAGTGGGGTTGGGGCTGAGGCGGGGCGTGGGATGGAGCTGCAAGACGCTTGTCTGGGAGGTGCCGAGGGGGAGGGGGAGAGCAACTCCCACTGCTGTGCATACTCCTGGAGGAGGCACAGGGGGCGTGTACCTCCCCAGATCTGCTGTGAGCTCAGGGCTGGGGGCAGTGCCAGGCTCTTCCTGATGGGGGGGGTTGGGCCAGGGTTGCACTGGTGGCATGCAGCAGTGGTGCTGGGAGGGGGGTTTCAGGGGGACTATGAATTCTGGGGTGGCCTTGGCCCCCCAATAGTCCCCCTTCCCAGTGTCACTGCCACCTGAGCGCAGCCCTGGCCTAGGTCCCTGCTGGGAAGAACCCGGTGCCACCCCTGGCTGCCTGCAGGGCTGCGCACAAATCTGGGGGCCACCCAGGGTTGCACGCAGTGGAGGGAGTCACCCCCCGTGCTCTCTTCAGACGAGCCACTTGTGGCTCCGTCCCATGCCCCACCCAGTGCCTGCCCCAGCCCCCCTCTTCCCTCACTGTAAGGGCCTCAGTCTGCACCCCCCTTCCCTTCCCTCCCCGCACTCCTCCCCACCCTACAGACTTACCAGCTGGACACTGCTCTCCAAACTGCCAGGCTGCATATCAGCAATTGGATCCATATCGACCAATATGGCTTATTAATAATCAGTCATCAGTACTGGCCCCAAAAATCTGTATTGGTACACCTCTAACAATAAGGCCTCATATATACATTGAATAGGAGCACAGGAGCCCTGTGGGACTCTGTAAGAAAGGTTATGTGAGGGAGGTGGAGATATGATGAACACTTACTCCCTGCTGTGAATGAGCAGAAACAATTTAGAGCTGTCCTACAAGTATCCACCAGGCTAAATGCTTTATCAGTATACCTCAGGGTCAACTTATCAAAGACCACTGAAAGATCATTGGCTGAGACCACATGCATAGTCTCTCTGCTGTATCCAGAATGAAAGCCAGACTGACAAGGATCCAAGAAACCAAAGGCATCCAGGTGTGCCTGGAGCAGTTAAATGACTACCTGTTCAATGACCTTCACCAAAAAGGGAAGGTTGGAGACAGGGCAGTAGCTGGATGGGGAGTAAGCATCTAGTGATGGCTTCTTGAGTAGGGAATCTGAGAATTAAGAGCATCCAGTACCCTGCCCTTCCAATGGGAGGCATTGAGAACTCTGGCCAGCAGTGTCCCCAGTCTCCCACGGCTAGCTTTTACAAGCCAGGACAGCCATGTTCACAACTGGTCACCCTAATTCCTCCAAGCCCATCCCCCACATCAGTTAGCGATAGCAATTTAAAACGATCCGTATAAACAGGATGCAACTAGGCTTCCTCAATCAGGAAGCAGTTCTTCTGGACAATACTTTACAAATGCATTGGCAGTGGAGAAGAGAAGCTTCTTCACTACCACTACTGCCATACTGTAGTCGTTTAAGAGCGATATATACTGCAGTCAGTTGGCTTTAGCATAAATTGAGACCCATCTGTGTTCCAGCTCCTACCCTTCCATTTAACCTGCCCCAGTTCCCCTAAATTCCAGTGGGACCTGTGATGCCATAGTGGTAGGAGTGGATGCCTGGGTGCCACTGTGCCTATGATCAAGGTCAGTATGCTAGTCCATGGATCGACCAGGCCATCAGCAGAGTAGCCATCAAGGTTAGTGAGAATATCCCCCAGGGCAGAGGTTCTAAAACTTTGTGATACCACGACCCTGAGTGTTAGATGGCGGTGGCAGGGGACAGGGAGCTTGCACATGGCAGCCACCCCTGCCATCCACCACTCCATGCTGCCGCCACGTGCCACTTCCCTGCGCCACCACATGTACCCCCTGGGAAGTTTGTGGCCCTCTTTTAAGTTGCTGGGGGGGTCATGACCCATAGTTTGAGAACCTCTGCCCCCGGGAAGGCTGGGGACCAACCTAGTTGGTCCATAACCCTAACAGGGGCAATGGAGGACTGAGATCTGTGCCTCTGTGAGGTAGTGGTTCAGATCTGACAGAGGTTTCTTGACAACATTTCTTGATAATTGGAGCCCCTGGATCTAGGTAGATGCAAAACATTAGGTCTAATGTATGCCCTACCTTATGGGCTGGCCATGGAGTAGCTCCATGGTTGACATGCATACCATGAAGTCCTACTCCAGCCCCAAAGAGCTGGCGTCAGTGTGGCTGTTGAAGTTCCCCAGCATAATAAGTCTGGGCATGCTCAACACCAGCTCTGAGACCAACTCAGCTAGTTCAGTCAGGGATGGTCAGTACACCAGCAGAATCTCCAGTCTGTCCCCAGTCTTGAGCTGGGGATAGATTATAAAAACGATAGAGAGAGACTTTTCACTGTGCCTGTAGGGGACAGAAGCATTCCAATGAGAGTGTATTCCTTTATATGAAGTACTTCCTGAGAATTCATAGGTACCATGGTGATGAATGAGGGAGGGAAAAAAACCCTCCAGTCAGATAGAATAAAGGACCTTCTAAATTCAGTGTTGTTTGTTTTGTTTAGGATTCCTATAGAATTTAATCTAATCTTTGACTTCACCTCTTCCTGCCTCCAGAAAAGGAGGTTTAACCTTAGTGGCATCTAATCTGCCTATGCTTCTTCTATGGTACTTGCATATCCTGATAGTGAAGTAATATATATCTATTGGAAAGAAAGCCTCCATTTAACTGACTGCCGAATGTATTTCTTATCACTCAAATAAGAGTATACCTTCTTTTACCTTTTTGAATCCTAAAGGGCAAGCAAAGAAACCCACAACACTGCTGTTTCAGAAGGTCAAGAAAAGGCACTTCACAAAGACTCCACAAAGACTCAAGAACAGTTATTACCCAGGTCTTTAGATAGACGGGAAAAATTGCCCCCACTGATTTCAGAAAGGCAAAAGAAAACATCTCCACTGGTCTCCCATGCAAAGGAAAATCAAGTTGCAGCCGCTGTCAGATCTGGTGTCCAAAAGAAAGATCCTTTCTTATTCATATCTGAGAAGCATACATTGGCATCAACTTTAACTGCAAAACCTCAAGATGCAGCTTCTGTTAAAGACTCTTTGACTTATCATGAAGTATCTTCTGATGATCTTGGTACTGTTACTGAAGAATTTCAACAAATTTCTGATTCTTCTATTGGAAAGATACCTGCTTCTGAGAGCCAAAAAAAGATATATACAGCTTTCATTCCAGAACATAATAAAATTCCTATTCCAGTTCTCTCTGTCAGTGATGAGATGGTACAGTATTATTTATCATTTTATATACACACTAATTATTTTGGACTAAATTGTGAACTCATCCATTCTGGACACTTGAATAGTCCCACAGATTTAAAGATCATCAATGAAATGGCTGAAGTTTACATTAGGTATCAGAGTTTCCTCTCAATGCAGTTAATGAGAGACCTCATGCCTCTCCAGAGTCATTGTTGTACATTGTCTATCATAATACATAAATCAGGTGGGACTTAAAATTAAACAGACAGGATTTTGGACACCTACAAACTGACAGTTTCACCTTGCAGTTGGTATCCTGAAATAGTCACAATTTAAGTTGTCTCACTGATAAGTCCATTTATCTCAGGGGTGTGAAACTCATCTGGCAGAATCAGTTCACAGGACAGATAAGCGGTATGCAGCCAACCCCAAGGAATGCCCCCGTTACAGGCTGGATCCAGTGCCAGTGGAGCTTGTTCTGGTCAGTCCTGGACTAAGCTGAATGTGGTGCCCATTTTGGCCAGATTAGGATACAAGCCACACATGGTATCTGCTCCAGCTGGTCTGGTGCAGACACCATATGTAGTGCAGGTCCTGGATTGGCTAGAATGGGCATTTGTATCCAGCATGCAAGGGACCTGTGGAACCTCCCCCTCTGACTCTCACCTGGCATGCCAGATCCAGGAGTGGGCACGGTGGGTGCTGGATCCAGCATGCAGAAGAAGAGGTGGTGATCCCGGACTGGGGTAATATGATATAGTTCTGCAGGCTGGATCTGGGCCATAGGCCTTATCTTCGACACCCCTGCTTTATCTTGTAAGTGGACCTAATAGTAGTAATCACATTTAAATATACTTTTGATTATAAATCTTATTGCAATAAACAAATAATCAAATATAGTTTAATATGATAGCTTTAATATTGTTTTTGGATTTCCAGGTTTTGAGGGAAGACGGTCAAGAATCTCTCAAAGTTTATCAGGTAAAAATGAAAACAAATTTAATCTATAAAAGAAAATATTTTAGTTCTGTTCAATGATTATTCTTATGTTTAAAAAAGAAATATATAGGTAAATTATAACATTGAAGAGTTCTCTAAACAAAAGCAATGTTATTAGGATTTTTATTCATCTCTAATCTAGCCCTCAGATTCAAAAGTGACAGAATAGTTACAGGAGACATGACCGATCTTTTATCCCGTTTTGCTCCTGGATACTTCGGGTGAGATGGAAATAGTTATAATCAGCGGTGCTCAACCTTTTCATTTTGCAGCCTTCATGAGTGCTATGGGGCTTATTAACAGGCCAGATCTGTGGGGTCAGTGTGTGGATCTGATCCTGTGCTGCCTGAGTCCAGCTAAACACACCTGGATCTGAATCTGTATGCCTGGACCCAGCTCTATGTTATCTAGACCAGGCCCCATGTCCCCAGATCCCATCTTATGCTGCCTGGATCCAGTCCCACACGTCCAGATCTCACCTCGTGCTATCCTGTCATGTGTGCCTAGATTCCACCTTGCACCACCCAAATTGAGTCTTGCATGCCTACATCCTGCCTAGTGCTGCCCCATTCTGTGCTCCCAGATTGGGCCCTGTGCAGGATCACACTGTCCTGTCTGGTGGGTTTCCTACATGACTGAAAATTTTGGCAGCAGAGGAGCAGCAATTAACACTGCCACTTTTCCACTGCCAGTTTTTGGATCTGTGGGGAGTCCCGGAGGCCAGATGACATAGCTCCACAGGCTGGATCTGGTTTATGGGCCAGAGATCGAGTACCCTTAGGTATAATTATTAATAGAAATCTAATTGATTTTGAATATGGTTCTATGTACTCAAGCATTTCTTCAAAAAAAGTGAAATATTAATAGTTACAGGATTGTCACTTGGTAAAGTGGCCTCCATACATACATTAATTCATACACCTTTAGCATTTAATTTTTCTGTGTGTGATAACAGGACAGTCAGAACTCAAATGGAGTCAATGTCACCATCTTTAGTGTGAGGAATCTAGTCTGAATTTGTTGTTGAAGAAATAAAATGCAGATCCTTCTGTGGAACTGTTTATCAATCTTAGATTAATTCTCCCAAAGCAGAAGGCAAAATGAGCAAAAATTAAAAACAAATAAGTTAACATATTCCTATTTATACTACTATTGTTAAGCAAGGGGGAATAAAATATATACTGAGATTTATAGAGAGACCATGAAGTACATTAATGCAGAACTATTTCAACTTTAAATTTGCCCTTACATTTCTAGATTTATTTAATAGTCTATTGCTGTATAGACAGCCTGGAAAATTTAATGTTCTGAGTTTTGAAGGTTTATCTTTTAGAAGAGAGAAATGTTAAACAATGGTCATTTTCTGTTGTGGATTATGTGGGCTTTTTTTGACTATTCGGATAGCAAATCACCTATTACCAATACTCTTTGGTATTTCTCATGCCAGATACTAATGCAGCATTAATATTTTTAAAATATTAGCTAAGACTGAAATCTTTCTGTTAAGAGATGTCTAAGAGATGGTAATGTATTTTTGATGTAGTTTTATTTGCAAAGAAAATACATAAAGCCCCATTTTTTTTCTCCCTGAACATAGTAGGAATCAAGAAGGAAGTAGTTTCTTTACTCAGTTTTCCAACCCTTTCCACCCACTAGTCTGTCCAAAAATGTCTCTGTTTTTGTCTGTCTGCCTGTGAGATGAGAGCTTGCAGCTTTTAGTATTCCTGGCTCTGTATGGGGAATCAGGCTGGGTTCCCCCAGATACCTACCTCATATTCAACAAAAGTTTGTTGCATCACAAGATCTTTGAAATGAAAGATTTCAGGAATGAACTGGCACTTTTTCAAATAAAAAAATGACCTACCAGCTCTATTTGTGACCATAGATCAAAGATACATTCCCTCAGAGTGGTTCAACCTTAGTTTTGTAATAAAATGCAGTTGTAATGCATTAATCTTAATATTTACTTTTTTGATCTTTAGGATGTTCAATTTGATGTTCAAGATTCTTCTGATGGTTACGAGGTAAATATAAAACATTTAAATTGAAAATGAGAAAAACATTTTAAATGGTTGGTTATCACAGTGGGAATACATTTGAAGAAAATCAGAATAAATATTCCTCATCATGAAGGAGACATTTTCTCTTTACAGAGATCAAGTGCATGAGCTATTAAGAGTAAAATACCTAAGGTTTAAAAGTTAGAGAGAACTTCAGTGAACTTTCAACAAAGGCAGTGGACTCACCAGTACCCATTTGGCATGACCCTTTGCAACCTTTGGCAAAAAGGATGGTTACAGTACTGTGCTACCACCTTCCTCATATATATTATCCATCCAGATAGATAGATACCCAACATCTGTCTCATAGACCTACTACCTTAACAGGCAGAGGAGAGGGACAGGGAGTTAGGAACCCTAGGTTCTTTTCCTAACTGTCATAGCTAGTTAGGTGACCTTGAACAAGTTACAATCTCTTGTTGCAGTGCTCCAGTTGCACCAAGTAGATAACAATGCCTTCCCTACCTTTATAAAGAATCCTAAGAGTTCTGGATGAAAAACACTAGAGATTAGACAGAGAGAGAGAGAGAGATCTGGAAAAAGCGGGAGTATATCTAGATAGATATTGACCCTTAGGATAGTTACAATACTGTGCCACACCCTTCCATATATAATATCTATCTATCTATCTATCTATCTATCTCCACAGCAGGGGCTGGGGAATGCAGCTGGATCCATCGCATGGGGCTTCCCCTGGTGGTGTGCAAGCACCAGGAGGTGCACATGCACCATGGGGAGCTCTGTGTGATAGAGGTGGGCCAGCCTAGCTGCACTTCTTGCCACCATGTGAGGCATTGGCTGGAGCCAGATGCCGCTGGGCAGCAGTACCTGCATGGGCCACAAGCACCTTTAGCGCCTGCCACCTGCTGCTGCTGCTGCTGTCGCCAATGGGGTCTGTGTACCATGGGGGAAGTGTGTGTTGGGGGGAGGGTTCCCCCCCCCCACACCTCGCACGTCCCTACACACACAATTGTGTGTGTGCCCAGAGTGAGTGGGACACTGTGGAAACTGAGCAGGTCCCCTGGTGACTGCAGTAGTGGCAGCAGAGGCCTGTCTGGAAGCTGCATGCTGGATGGGCTGGGCCCTTCTGCCCACGAGGGTGGAAACAAGGTGCACATGCTGGGTGGGGTACAATTAGTTGGCGGGCACCTGTGGGCTGGATGTAATTGCCTACTGGCTGTATTTTGCCCACCTCTGCCCTATAGTCATGTCTGTGCCTTGCAATTATAGATTTGGAGGAGGCCCCCTGGCCCCAACACAGCACTTGACCCTTCAGGCCTTAAACCTTTGTCTAGGATTCACAGCACTTGACCCTTCAGGCCTTAAACCATCCCTCCTGCTCTGGCTGGGCCCCTCAGCCCAGGTTCACTGTCCTAGACCTTGGTTTCTGGGCCCCAGCCCCGGTCTTGCTTTGGCAGGCTCAGGGTCTTGGTCTGTCAGCCCTCAGGTCTTGCCCTTTGCCCTCTTGGGGTCTGAGCCTGTTTACTCAGTCTTCTTTTTGGCTATAGGCTCTGAGCCCCAGTTTATATCCTTGTCCTCTACAAACAGTAACAACGCTGCTTCAGACACTCCATGCATCCTCCAAGCTTCCACTCACAGCTGCTCTCAGTCTTCCAGTGTAAACTTAAACACAGGCATAAGTAGGATGACTATATGTCCTTGGATTTTGGAGGCTGGTCCTGGCTGGCCAGCAAAAATTAAAACAAGCGTTCCGGGTGGGGAAGAGGTGGAGTGGCATGAGCTGTGAAATAGGAAGCCCTAGTAGACAGCAAAATTGCCCTTAAATATGTTAGCTTGATTAGTAGAATGACCATTAAAAAGGGGAGATGATTGTTAACACTTGTGAAATAAAGAACCAATAGGTCATTAACAGGCCATTGACTCCCTTAGAATAATAGAATAATAAAAAATTAGGGTTGGAAGGGACCTGAGGAGGTCATCTAGCCAACCCCTTGCTCAAAGCTGGACCATCCTGTGACAGGGGGCCTTCCTGAGGCTGGTTCAATAATTGGCCTGCCCACCTGGCTTGCCTACCAGGCCATTGTTGGAACTGAATAGTTGTTCATAGAGGGGAGGCTGCTTATTTTTGCCCTGATGCCAAGGGCATAATACACAGCTCCAGCCTACCCTTTACTGTGTTCCATGCCTTGCAGATGTCATCACATACTGGTGACAAGTCTCTTGGCCCCTTAACTGGGCTAAACTCAGTCCCATCCTGAACCTTTCTCATACTACCCCTGGCAGGGCCACACTTGGTCTGCCTGCTTCTTGGGCCTCAGTCACACTGCCCTACTGTCCCTTCAGGACCACCCAGGCTCCTTACTCTATACAGCCCTTCAGGCTTCATCTCTTGCACTTTTGGTCCTGGCCCCTCGCAGACTTTCATGCCACCCAATTCAGGTCCTACTGTACAATGGGGTGTCAGGCCTACCACCCTGCACACTGGGCTGATTCTGGCCCCATGCCCTCTTTGGCCTCAGGTGTCTCAAACTTCAGCCTACTGCCCACTCAGGTCTCAGGTGTCTGTTTATGTGCCTGGACCCCTAACTGCCTACAGCCCACTCAGGCCTCAGGTGTCTGTCGACATGCCTGGACCCTAAACCTGTCCCATCTATGTGGTAACTCACCAGGTCTTGGGGGCTGAGGTTTTCTGGTGCCCCATCTTTGCCTTTTACTGGGGAGGCACCGGTGTGGCATTTCCTGGAGACTACCCCACCACAGGCAGCCCCACCACACCAACCCCATCAGGGTGTAGTTTTAGGTTTTACCCAGGTCCAACAGGGACCTCCTCTGTCTCCATAGTTCTGACCATGTGTTTCAGGAACTGCAGGCTGAGTGATGTTGTTTCTCTGGCTCTCTAGATGCAACTGCTAGCTCTGCTCCTAGGGCCTGGACTTATACTGAGGCTTCCCAACCTTCCTCCAATCTGGTGGCCCCTTTTTGGTTATGTGACCATTTAATTGGGCCAAACCATACCTGCCAGCTACTCGGAGCCTTCCTGAAACCTCTTAAAGTGGCCGGCACAAGCTGTGCTCTGCCACACATCCCTAACTAGATCATCCCAGGCAAAGCTTTGTCTCGCCAGGTCTTAAAAACCTCCAAGGATGGAGATTCCACCACCTCTCTGGGTAGCCTATTCCAGTGCTTTATTACCATCCTAGTAAGAAAATTCTTCCTAGTATCTAACCTAAACTTTCCTTTCTGCAACTTGAGACCATTGCACTGTCATCTGTCTGTCATCTGTCACCACTGAAAACAGTTTAGCTCCATCCTCTTTTGAACCCCACTTAGCTACCTGAATAGTAAAACCAGAGCTGCACCATGCTGCCCCACAGCATGGGGCAGTAGTCACCCCTGTCTCTGCCTGCAACAGCACCCCTGACTTGAGAGGTGAGGGGGAGGAGAGTGGGGAAGGAAGGGCAGTGTCCCAGATTTCACATTGGTCCTATATGGTCACCCAATTCATAAGCTAACTGCTGCCAAACTAAAATTCACCTCCAACCTGGATCTGTGTCACACTACAGGGATAATGAATAAACATATAACAGACATAATTTAACTTTTATGGCTGGTGCTGTTGAGCTTCCTTCACCCTTCCTGTGGCCTGGAGTTCCTTTACCCTGGCAGGACAGAGCTGGTGTGAGACCCCAGCAATGGTCCTGGCCTAATGAAGTCTGTAGCCATGACTTGCTGGGTCCCCTAACCTACCATTTTCCCACCAGGTCTGTCAGTTACAGCCTGGGTTGTGCTGTCTGCACCTGGGACGAGTAACCATTTTTCTTAAAGGCCTGTCCACTCCTAACAGTCCCTCTGGGTCCTGGAGCCAGCCAGTTGCTCTGGCTCTCTTCTCTTCAATAATGGGGGAGGGTTCCTATTACAGGGCCATAACACTGATTCACCACCAGTGATCTCAGTAGGTGAAAATATATTGGATGTTGTAAGTAAACTTACATACCTTGACTCCATTGTTACCAGCAACCTGTCATTTGAGGCTGAATTGAATAACGCATTGGCAAACCATCAGGTACCATGAGCATGCTGAGCAAATGTGTGGAACACCAACAAACTGACTGTTAAAAACCAAGATCAAATTGTTTTGTGCTTGCGTCATCAGCAACCTTTCGTATGGCAGTGAATTCTGGACCATGCTCTATTCAAGTACCTCAACAGCTTCCACTTATGTTGCCTTTGCCTCCTCCTAGGAATTTCCTGGCAGGACAGAATTGCCCACACTGAGGTCTTGGAATGAACCAACATTCTAAGCATCCTTTCTTGTCTTAGCCAGCATCAACTTCAATGGCTTGGTCATATGTAGAGAATGGATTGTGGTCATATACCTAAGCACCTAAGGATGGAGAACTCTTTACAGGAAGACAACCATATAGGCTTCCTTATCTCCAGTTCAAAGATGCTTACAGGAGTGATATAAAGGCGATGAACATCAAGCCAAAGACTGTGAGAAGATTGCTGAGGATCAAAGTGCTTGGAAACAGTCTGTTAAACATGGAATGAAGGTTTTTGAAGAAAAAAGAGCCCAGTATGCAAAGGAAAGAAGAAACCTCAGGCCACGTTCAGGATTGTTTGATACAAACTTCAAATGTGTTAAGTGTGGAAGAGACTGAGACTCAAGATTTGGGTTCTACAGCATGCAGAAGTTCAGTGATCTAATGCCTCATTTCGCACAATTCTGTTCTCATGACAGACTGGTGCCTAATGCCTACCCTGTTGAGGACATAAGTCATTCCCTATGCCAGGAACAAAACAAAGACAAAGACTTGTTCTTGTGGCAAAACTTAAGAATGGCTTTGTATCTAGCTGTTAACCATTGGATTCTTTGGGAGCCTAAAAAATGCATATAACTTCCTGTCACCCAAGGGTATATTTGTTTACTAGACTGGAAGTCTTTCCTGCTCCCATTATGACCAGGAGAATATTTTCATCCTTTCAGACATAAAGATTATCCT